TTATTTCTTTTATGAAATAATTTAAATGACAAAGGTCAAGTTATCTGGAATGTCAATTTATCCGAGGGTACTGCGTTTTTTAAATGAATTAAATATGACGTTTGCCAGTTCCACAATCAAGTCAATGATTTACAGAGGTTTCGGCACAGAAATCTGAAAGGTGTTTTCCATTTAGGTAGATGTTCATAATTGCGTTTAACGCTTCTTGTTTAAGACCAGTACGTAATGTGTGAGGTTTTTTTTTTTTTTTTGTAAGTTCATTGCTGAAAAACCCTTTTCAACCGCTTCAGTACTCCCAGGCAACAAAAAAAAACATCAATTCCACCATGCGCAGTATGTTGCTGTATAGGGTCATTTTAGAAGTGAGGAGCTAGACTCTTGTAAGATAACAAAAATTTAAAATGTATCACGAACATTAACGAACATCAATGGCCGTCCGCTCGGACGTCGGATTCGAGAAATTCGTTGTCCGCGTGGAATTTTTGACCGCCAAGGACGGGCGGCCCTTTTCGAGTCCTGACCTCTGGGGATACTGGATCGGAGATTGATCGTGCTCTAGTTGAGTTCAAAAATTACGATCTGCGGATAGATGGATGATGAGTGACTGTGTCCTCCTTTTAAAGCAGGTTGTGATGTATGTCTGTGGTGGAAGTCGAATTCTCAGCCATAGATAGCGTCATTGTAGGAACAAAAAGCTCATCTCTCTCCCTTAAAATAGGCTTACCAGTATTGACAAATAGCCTAAGAGAACAACTAGCAGTCTAAGAATGAGTGCAACAAAAGTTATGCATTTAGACTTCACAGCAAACATCAAAGTTTTTTTTTTATTTAGAAAAAAAACTTATTTTTTCCGTAAAATAAACGACATATTTCTGAATAAAAAATGAACAAGCTTCGCTCTAAAACGATAACTCTGGATTTATTTTGCAGATAATATTTTTAGTTTTAACTTTTATTACCGAAATGTTGGTCAAAATAAGTTTGTTAAAACGCTTTACTGGTGATAAGTGTTTACAAATGATATAATATAATTGTTTTTTTTTTTGTTTTTTTTTTCTTTTTTAATATAGACAGATAATGTTAAATTGCTGTTTTTCAGCTTGTGTATCTTTTGACATTTTGAGGAGCATCATTGTGTTGAAAATATGATATTATAATAATTAATAGAGATTCAAGTGCATCCATATTGGTTTTTAAACGCAGAATAGTTCATAAGCTCCCAGGACTTTTGAATAGTCTAAGGACATCATTCTGAAATTGAAATCCGTTTCATAAGCACGTAATAGAGCCACACTGTAAGAAAGGATTTCTCAAAATTGAGCTAAAATGTGCAAAAAAAAACTTCCAAACAAATAATAGTCGAATTTGAAAGCTCCATGTAACAGTATTCGAAATTGAAGCAGCATATACTCATTATTTTCAGCAAAATGCATTGTTTCAAAAGTTTTGTGAATGAGAAAATGCGTGAGAGAGAGATGTCCGTTGGCGGTGAGCTTGATTTGAACCATGGACAGGGCTCATCAGGGTTCGTAGTAGGTTGCTCTAAATACCATAGTTGTGCACCCCAGTTCAGGGAGAATTAGAAGCTTTATATAGTGGCCACCGCAATGACGTATCGTAGCGCTGTATTTCCAATTTCAAAGATACAAAGAGTTGCAATTTCAAAAATATTGTCCCTATAGCTTTCAGGAAATCGGTAATTTTAATTTTATTCTTTGCTTATTTCGCTATATCTTTAAAAAAAACATTTAAATGAATGGAAAATATGATATGATGTGTCATTGCGGCTGTCATTATACGAGGGTTGTAAATTAAATAGTGGCAACTTAACATTGAAACTCACAGAAGGGCGGGCATGCGCAAACAGGATATAGAAGTGGTAAGGTGGCGCTGTTGTCGATGTGTAGAGTGCAAAAAACAGTCAATATGCTTAGAAGGGTAGTTGTTGTGTGGCGTTAAAGTGAGGAGTTTCGTTTCCATCGCTCTAAAGCATGTTTTCAAAAGTGTTAATGACGAAAAAAGATGAGATGCTTGAACCCATCGTGCTAATGTCCTATACGGTAAAGCATTTGCTCCACAGGCTTCCACTAATCCTCGAGAGCATTCTGTTTCCTTTTTGCCACGGGCAACCTCGATTTTGAGCCACGACCGCTGATCACCTTTTGAAAACATGCTTTAGAGCGATGGAAACGAAACTCTTCACTTTAACGCCACACAACTACCCTTCTAAGCAGATCGACTGTTTTTTGTACTCTATACATAGACAACAGCGCCACCTCACCCCTCCCATATCCTATTTGCGCATGCCCGCCCTTCTGTGAGTTTCAAGGTTAAGTTACCACTATTTAATTTGCAACCCTCGTATAAAGCTTCCTATTTTAACCAGGTCTGTTGGTTAGAGCATCCTACAACGAACCCGGTGGTCCTGGGTTCGACGAACGAATCTTGGTCAACCGACAAACATCAATCTCTCTAACACATTTCTTCCTCCACATCATATTTTAATCTATGCATTCTGCACAAAAATGATCATATGGTTACGTACGATTTTCGAATTCGACTATTATTTGTTCCGAAACAATTTTGACACATTTTTGCTCAAATTTGAGAAACCCTTTATTATAGTGCAGAATTTATAAATAAGTTGAAAACAACGAATCTCTTAGATTGCCAAAAGTCTATTCGAAAAGATAAATACAAATAGATATATAGCATCTTTCAGTAAGTGCTAATTACTCAAATTAAGAAACATAAAGTTTGAGTTTGGTAACAAAATAAATATCAATATATGTTTAAAGAAATGTATTACGAGTAGATATTAAGCAACTTAAATACTTTACTAATATTCGACAGTTAAAAAAAATTAATAGTGTTGTAGTTCAATGTAGCATTGCGACCAAAATATTATCCTTCCCTTGTTAAATTGAACACCAAAAAATTTTGAAAGCAAAAAATGTCATTTGTTTGAAAAGGGAAGATTATCTTCAAAGTGAAGGTAAATGTTTACTTAAAATTAGTAGTTTATTCAATAGGTGGTACGTAAATACTTCTGAATTATTACAATAAATCAAGTTTGAGTTAAGTTTGCCAAACAACATTTACACATGAGTAAAATATTGTCACTCTACAAGAAGAAATTTTGATATTGTATATTATAATACTATTTTTATGTAGCTTATAATCAATAATTGTGGCTCCTGTAATGAAATCTTGCATACGAAAGACAAAACAGAAAAAATGGTTTAGAAATATTTTTGTTACACAACTCTGAGGCTACTGGTAGCAATACGTTTACACAAACCGTTGCTCTAAAACTATGAGAAAAAAATACAATCAAACTATTCTCAGTTATCCACAATACATAGGAAATTCATAAAATTTTCTCTGAATCTTGAATTATTTGACGAAATTTTCCTTAAATATCACGTAACGCTTCCATTTTTTCCCTTCTTCTCTTAATACTTATTGACTTAACGAATTCATAAAAATGAATTTCACATTCATTGTGCTTCAAAAATGTAATTCGTTATTGTTTACAGTCATTTTATCACGAAATCACGTGATTTTTGTTAAAATACGAACTTCCAAATAATTTGCAAAAATTGATTCCTTATTCTTATGTTGTCTCAGCATTTTTAATCTGATTTTAAAATCGTTTGCGGGTATAAAAAGGTTAAAACACAGCTAAAAAGCCGTAAAAATAGCGTAGCAAATTGACCTGGAGATCAGGTTTCCCGGGTTCAATTTCTGACAATGACTGAATACTCATTCCTCACTAATTGTATTTTCTACAGTTATAATATTTTACATTATTTTTCCCGTTAAATCGTGTCAGCCCATATATAGCATTAAACCTAAAGTTTTACTAGAAATTCTCAAAGAATAAAAATAGTAGTTATTTCATAGATTTAATAAACAGTTTGCTTGGAGCATTTTACATTGAACGGTTTTGTTAAAGGGAAGTGAAAATTGTACAGATTTTGAATAAGCCATGTTTATACGGTAGAGGGTGCTAATATAAATATGGTATCATAGACACATTTCGCAAAATATTGAATCTTACATTTCTTGCACAATTTCGCCATATGACTTATGCTTATTGAACGAGGTGCACATCCATACTGCTCCATATGAAGATTAAAGTTGCAACTCTCTATGCAATCCTAAATAAAATATACATGATAAAACATCAATGAAAGAAATGTTATATAGTCAACTTTTTAGAACGATTCCTGACATCCGGACAAAAATAGACACTACAGCGTAAGCTCGTTGCATCGTGAGTGCAGAAAAATTCCGTAATAACAAACACATAACTAAAAAAGTCTACTAATAGTACACTGGCAATCATGAATTAAGGAAAAACTACAAAAGTAGAGATAGCTGACCCAAAAATAAGCCATTCACTATGAAATTTGATTATATTTTGCTAGGTTGTTTTTTATCGCTAAACACGTATAAAAAGGTACACGTAAACACTTAGTCCCTCAATTTATGACCAAATCCTTTCGAAATTTTGTCTGTAATATGTAATCCAAATATGTAAAACAATATATGCTTATTTAGAGAAAGCACGTTTTTTGTCCGAATTTGTAACTTAATTAATTGTTGGCACTAATTAATTAGCATATTTGAAGGCACCCCCCAGGAACCCTTAAGATTGACTCTTAGTACGTAAAAATCTGATCATTAGGATCGGAAGTTAATCAGAGAGATATCTTTTTTGAGCATTGTACAATTACTGGGTTCTGCTTCTCAAACCAAATAATTTAAATGAATCTTAACTCACCATCATTAAGTCTTAACATAAACTTAAGATTTAATTTCATTGTTCGACAATAGGTTGCACTGATAGGAACAAAAACAAAATATAATTTCAAATTAACATTTTTCACGAACAATGAGCCACCAACAGAAAAAAAAGCTATAGTCACACGTGTAGATTTGTTTCGAATGGATTACGTGCAGAAAAATATTTAATAATATTTTAATTATATTAATTTATATTTCAACTAATTTCGAAATTTGAAGAAGAAAATCTGATTCCAAAACACAGCAATGAACTGTATAATTCTATCTCCTTTTTCTTTGAAATTGATATTTTTTTAATGATGGGTAGAATCGGAGTACATGATACTTTACAATAAATCACGTCATGCAATAAAAGAAATAAAACAGGAACTTACCATGATATCAAAAAATTCATCTGAAGTTCCTTTATTCAACACTGAGCAATTTGTATCATAAGGGTCGGGTAAGAGATGTTGCTCGATCTAATTAAAAAATTTGGTTAGCAATTTGATGGCAATAGTCAAAAGTTATGAATTATATACGTTAATGTAAAAATAGAAATATGCTACACCTAGATCTTTTTATTTTATTCAGGAAGCATTCTGCTTCACCAAAAGCAAAATCTATTTGACATTTCTGTTCCCCTCATATAATATTGTAAAATATTTTGTGACATAAGATACATTTAATACAAATCTTATAACAAAATATATCATTTGAATTAAAATTAGGTATAATTTTTGACAAGATCTAGATTATAAAAGATATTTAGATGGGAAGCTGCGATTCTTTTGCTCGCTGTTGGAATTTTTATTCTAAAATTACGATAAAATAACCAACAGCTGTTTGTCCATCCATTTGATCTTAAAGTTAATGGTTAAGAACATCTTACACAGTTACGATTTTCAAACTGTTTACAACTAGTATGGTTAAAAAACTATGAATACAATACAGTACGGTTTTTTAACTACTTGCAACTTCCATGATTTCACGTACTTACAAAAAAAACATTTAACAGGAAATTGGAGCTAAGCTTTTCGTTAGGTAATGGGCATTAGAGTTAGATAACAGGCATTGGAAATTCTTCATGTGTTGAAGAGAATGGAGGAAATATTGTGGTGAGAACGATAGGACTTGAACCCCGATTCTGTAGATTATGAGATTGCCAGATTGGTTATAATATGTTCTCCGCTGCAAGGATCAAAAATTTGCTTCACTAGGTAGTCCTATTTGATGCGATAAAATTCTGTTTGCTTAACAGTATTAGGTGAAAGCAATTAATAAATTGTTTTTCTAACAATTTACAGTTAAAATATTATCTTATCAATAGTTATTTGATGTTTCGTTTGAATATGCTAAAATAACCACTAAATAAATTGTCCTTTAACCATTTTTTCTGAAAACTTTCTAACAGTGCGGTACTGGGTGAAAATGATATTTAAAACTTCTTTAATTCTTTAAAGGTGTTTTTTTTAATTGGAGCTGATGCATTAACTGATGTGGCCATTATTAAAAAAAGTAGACTTAATTTAAAGTACTGTAAAAATTATAGAAAAACTCCAATTTTCATCATTCTAAAAATTATAAAACCATAGTTTGGAGATTGTACTTTGTAAATCATACTCACATATTCAGTTATTTGAAGAAGATGATATCCCGGAAATCCAAGCCTTAAACCATGCCTAAAAGGATTCACAAGCTTTCTAGAATCGTGTATTGTAAGATAAATGGCCGGCTTGGCCAAAGGATCAAGGTATTCATCCAGCTTTATATGTAAGACGAAAACAATATCTGAGAAAGAAAGAACATTTCCATTTTAGATTTCATACCATTTGCTGCATATTCAATTTAGAAGTCTTACAGGATAAGTAAGTAAAAGCTGTTGTGTAATATCTCTCTGAGTACAATGTTGGACAACTAAAAAATTGGGGGAAAGAACACTATATTTCAGGCTAATACCAAATCAAGTTCTCATATGCAATTTAAAATGTGTCATTTAAATCTAAACACCTAAAGTGCTTACACCTGTCTCACGTGCATTCACACCATGCGCATGCACCGTAGGCCAGAAGACCATGATCTTTGGCCTACAGTCAAAAATTAAATTTTCAACTAAAATATGTGTGGGCAGTTTTAATATAGCCCAAATTAAGTATTCATAATCATTCTAAACGTTATTATTTACTTTTTGGACCGACAAGAGTACAATGTAATGAAAAATATGTTTAAAAAAAAATTTTAATGTAACTTTTAAATTTTTATTTCAGAAATATATACAGGAATTTCACCTTACTGTTACATTTTTATCAGAGAAATTAGTCTGAAATCATAGTACAATTTTTCAATTTGCTCGATTAGCTAATACTCTTGACAAACTTATAGTTTATATCTTATCATTTCGCATTTTACAATGTATAAATCACTTTCGAAACTTAGTTCCAAAAAGTTCCACAAGGTAATTAGCTAAACTTTTTTTTGTTGCCTTCTTTGATGTTTCTTCTTTCGAAAAAACCTGCCCCATTTTGCCCGTGTTGCAAAGGTGGACTAAATATACCGAAAAACAAAAATTATGTTTTTTTGTTTCATGTTTTCGCTTTATTTTGTAATTAATTTGCGTAATTTTGAAATATTACTTCGGAAATATAATTTGCTTTAAATTTTTAATATGAAATTACGAAAATTATTATATTTTCATTGCTATATTTAATTATTTAAACTTACTATATTATTATTTTTGTTTTTGCTCGCCATATTTCAGCCGACATTTTGTTTTTTTGGGTATTATTAGTGTATTTCGAAATTTCAACTATGAATTCAATTGATCTGCACATAAACACCCCTAAATAACCCCCCCCCCCCCCAANCAAATTTTGAAACAAATTTTATCGAAATACTAATTTTGGCAACGAAACCTTGGATGCTGGCCCACTGTGCATGCTTGTAGAAATTTGAATGCGAGTTTGCGATAGTTTGTTGTTGCCTTCTAAGTTGCTATACACCTACAGAAAAAGTTCACCTATAAAATATGGATTATGTTTTTATTTGTTTAATAGGGATAATTATGTTTTAATTTTTAACTTTTTATGAACTTTATTAAATGATTTTATAACGAATAATTTCTATCCACATCGGTTTTAATAAGCCTAGTTTGAATTCATCTTAATATTCTCCTTGTGCAACGCTTACGTTTGTTTAACAAGCTAATTTTATTTTAAGATATATTAAATATGTACACATTAATCTTAAGTTAATTCTGGCTTTAAATTGCATCGTAAAATTAACTTTATTGATTCGTATGTGTATCTTATGTTACTATCAAAGAATTTGTTTTAGTTTTACTGAATACAAAGAATAGTGGCTGCAACTTTGCACCAAAAGAGCATTCTCCTGTTGTTATGAAGTACCAAGAAGTTATTGATGTTGTTTTAATTTACCGCTTTTGCGAATTGAAACTTTGACTTACGTGCCACCATTTTTGGTGTTTTAAGATACACTCAAAATTTTATCAACATAATTTATTGAGGACTTTAGCTAGAAATTTTTACATGCCTAGTTCAATATAAATTATATCTTTAAATATTTTTGTTTTACTTGACTCAATACTTAAATTCGAATGATTGCACAGGTTAGATCAATAAATTAAGAGTTGAATAGTGCATAAGAAAATAAGCTAAGTATAAAGTGTTACACCTTTAAGAAAAACCGTCTTCAGGCAAGCTTGCAGGTAGTGAGAATCAGTTTTGAATATTATTATTACTAGACTCATCACTTTAATTCGAATGATTATACATGTAAGATTTATCAATTCAGAGTTGAAATAATGTTTTAAAAAATGAGATAAGAGTATTACCTCTTTAAAAAAACGGTTTTCGGACAATCTTACGGGGACAAGAGAATCCCGCTACGGAATATTTTTGTTTTACTTGGTACGTACATTACTTTAATTCAAATTATTGCACAGTTTAGATTACCAATTTAGAATGGAATAATGGTTTAGAAAAGGAGCTAAAAGTGTTTCCCCTTTTAAAATAAAAACAGTAACCTTTGCACTCGATTATGTAAACGAACATACTGTGTTCCAAACGTTATAAAGCACATTTCAGGGATTTATTTCCCAAAGATAATGGAACTTGCTAACAAGCGAAAGAAAAGTCAGCTGGGAATAAGTTAAAACAACGTTAATTTAATCGGCTTTCACTTACATAATTTATACGGAGCATCTGTTTACTTACCTTTCGTAGTTACAACTTTAGTCTCATTTTGCCAATTATCCTTATTTAAATCTCTGCGAACAACTGCTCTATTGAAGAATTTTGTAACAACTTCGACATCAGATTTCAGTCCATAGGATAAACAAATTGCAGATTCTCCATCATTGTCGGTAAATGGTACCAGGTGAAGCTTGTATGTTCTTCAATCGTACAAAAATAAATGAAATAGCTCTAGTATATCTAAGAGTACATGATATATATATATACATAT